AAAAGGTAGGAAAGTCGCGAAACACTGTGTTTTTTCGTGGTTTTGTGGCTCCGGAGGGTTGAAAAGTAGGCTCGCTAAAGCTGCGGGTGCGGAGACATCTGGGGAGATGAGAGATGAAAAGTTGAACGCCGTTGTGGCGCGAAGCACATTTGGAAGTAAAATGTGTTAAAAACTGAGGGGGTTCGGACCACTTTTGGAAGTTGAGATGTCGAAAAAGTGCACGCCGTTGTGGCGCGAAGCACATTTCCAAGTCAAAATGTACAAAACACACCAGGTTCGGACCACTTTTGGAAGTTGAGATGTCGAAAAAGTGCACACCATTGTGGCGCGAAGCACATTTCCAAGTCAAAATGTACAAAGCACGCCAGGTTCGGACCACTTTTGGAAGTTGAGATGTCGAAAAAGTGCACGCCGTTGTGGCGCAAAGCACATTTCCAAGTCAAAATGTACAAAGCACCACATGTTCGCGCCACTTTTGGAGGTTCAGATCTCGAAAAAGTGCACGCTGTTGTGGCGCGAAGCACATTTCGAAGTCAAAATGTACAAAACACTAGGGGTTCGGACCACTTTTGGAGGTTCAGATGTCGCTTCGCTTCGCTTGGTGTCATTACACTACACTATAAACTCCACTACACTACAGTACATTACACTACACTACACTCCACAACACTACAACTACAACTACAGAACTACACAACTACACTCCACTACACTCCACTACATTAAATTACAATACACTACGCCACATTACACTACACTCCACTACACTACACTACATTACACTACACTATACACTCCACTACACTACACTACACTACATTACACTACACTATACACTCCACACACTACAGTACATTACACTACACTACACTCCACAACACTACAACTACAACTACAGAACTACACAACTACACTCCACTACACTCCACTACACACCGCTACACTAAATTACACTACACTACATTACACTACACTAGAAAGATCGATAGATAGATAGATACATAGAAAATAGATACGTAGGTAGGTAGATAGTCAGAGAAAGAGAGAGAAAGAGTGAGAGAGATCAAGCACCTTTCAGTCCATCAGTGGCTTCGCTCTGCCATCCCGGATTCACAACAACCAAGCTCACCTATAGGTTTCCTATTTTTGAAACTTCCGCCACCGCCTTGTGCGGTACTACTGGTACAGGATAATTTTGTTCCCGCTGCATGCACAAAATGGAAAGAAGAGAAACAGGGGACAGGAAGGGCGCAATTACCCACTTTTGACAAAAAAAGCAATGGAAGCGAGGGCTAGGCGAGCAAGGCAGGAAGCAACAAGCAAAGCTAATTGCCTCACAAACATGTTGAATTTGCTCTAAAATCACTATGAGTCACAATTGATTGCGTCAATCTAATTCTAAGTTGAACGGACTGGTCATGTCTGAGTGCCAATCAGCGCATCATTGCAGGTAAATATCCGACCCATGCCAATGTGACTACCCGATCTGAACATGGTCGAAATTTAGGGATCTATGGTCTATGGGAGTTCGCACTATTTGTGTCAACATGTCCCATAATCGCTATAGTTGATGAAAAAGAGGGGTGTGTCGTTTGTATCCTCTCGTGCTTTGCGAATGCGAAATGAACCCCAGCCGCCATTTAATTTATCCAAAAGGACATCGTTTACTATTCCATGTGCAGCCAACAAAAGTGGGAGGGCAAGTGAGGCAGATCAGAATATGAAACACCACCAATAATCACCAATAGCTTGGCCTTATGCAAAAAAAACATCGGTATATTCCACAATGACAGGCCGCTCGAAAAAAGTTTTTTCTCAACATGCCATTGAATTCGGCCTTTTCCTGACATGTTTGGACAAAATCCACTTCAAAAAATATTCATCGCTATCAGAAATAGATTGAAGCTGAAGTTGGTGGACGCCAAATCCCCGTCCTCAGGAAGCAGGGACCAGATGGCACCGAGGTTCAGGACGGGGAAATGAGAATAAATGAAAATTTGATGGCAACAGCATCTGTTTTCTGGGGAAGTCCCCTTTATTTACCATGCAGATATCACACTATTCATGTGGGCAAAATGATGCCATCGTCTGGGGAAGTCCTATTATTTTGCCCATATGTTTTGCCAAAAAGGTTTGGACAAAATGATGGGAACATGATGGAACATCTTTACCCAGACCCTCAAGTTGCCAACAAACAATTGGACAGCATGCACTTTTGATGGGTATAATTCACCGCCAATAAAGGATGGCACTTACCATCACACAAGTTGGCATTTGACGATTGCGTTTGTCTTGTTCCTCACCTGCCAGGTGAGGGTCTCTAGATTCTAACACTTTTAACAAAGGTGCAACTCCTTCTCCTTCTCTTCCTCCTCCACCTCCTCCTCCTTTTCCTCTTCATCTCCTTTGCCAGCTCCGGATGCAGTGTGCCATACCGGGACCGGAACTCCATATCACGCGCTGAGGATGCAGTGGATTGTGCCTGGACCCGAACTCAAAATCGCCAGCCCAGGATGCTGTGGAGTGCGCCTGGACCCGAACTCATGCTAGAATGCCAAACTTAATGCCAGATAGAATGCCAGAATGAATGCCTGAAAATGAAAAGATGCCAAATAGAATGCCATGTAGGATGTCAGATAGAATGTCAGAGCATATGCCAGACAGAATATCAGATAGAATATCAGAATATATATATATATATACATTTATTATATATATATATATTCTCTCTATATATATATATACATATGCAATATATACTTCCAGATGGTATGTCAGCAACTATGTCAGAATGGCATGTCAGGGTGGGGATTGCTCGAAGAAAGTAATATCAATTCTTTATATATCAGTCCACTGCGAGTCAATGTGGACCAAATAGTGAATTTAAGCTGGACAACTTGGATTTTTGGGGTATTCCATTCTTGCGCAAACCCCGGTGGGTTAAATAACCACTTGACCCCTTTTAACTAACGATTTTTTGAGGGTAAGAGTGGATGTCCTTGTCCAACTTCTTGGGTGAATTGCAATGGCGAGCTGCTGACTCGCAAACTGTAGATGATCGATGATGATCGTGGTATACAAAGCCGGCCCGAAGAGGACATCAGATGGCTTTAACGGGCTAAACATGGGGATAAACTTCGAAAAATAAACAGATTAGATGAGGATCTAGTGCTTTACTGCCTGTTTTTGTGCTTGTTAAGATTCACTGGATCGGCATCCGGCTCTTAAGCAACCAGCGGCGCTGCTCAATGGTGTGGGTTGAAAATGGCAAGGGAGAATCAATCAGTGAAAAACTTCGGATTCTCTTTGAGAATTTCTCCAGTTCAATTTCTCATTGCGAGCCAAACCAGAAGGTTTGGTCTTTGAATCTCTGTGAGACTTCTCTGCGACACAGGATTGTTTCCTTTTTCTTTGGTAAATTCAGGCGCTTTCTTCAATCACATCCAACAACAAACAAAAAACACAGACAAAAACGGTTTCCACTCTTCGGCTCACCACACGGATTCTCACAACTTCAGAACTCTTAGTGGATTCTCTTGGCACCTCAAAATGAGGCAAACAGCACAACAATTTCGTCCCAAACCAAGTGTTCCAAAAAGTGTTCAAACGAGTTCCCAACGAGTTTGCGCACTCCAACAATTCCGTACTCGCTCCATACGTCTCACAAACTCTGAAAACGAGCGTTCACTTTTACCAAACGGATTTGGTGCGAAAGCGCACTTCGTTTGAAGCGTCCCGAAAATGCTCCCAGGACCAAAAACACCACTGCAATAAGTACAATCCTAGGAATATGCTAAGTCACAGTAGGCTTTATCACATGCGATCCTAGAAAGAAGACTACGTCCATGCAAACTTCCTACCAACTGATCTCATGTCAAGCGGTTGAATGCTTACACCAACTTGGATTCCTAAGTGCTTACATCTTGTGTTCACCTAAGTTCCTTAAAATGCAGTGAAAAGCTACTTCCTTGCGATAGACACACAAAGTCTCTAAGAAGTTCTGAGTGTCCGACGAACGGATCTCATGCAACATCTGCAAACCTAATTCCATCCTTCTGGATTCCTTTGGCAAGTCACTTCAGTGTTTGCGAAACGGTCTTTTCTGACAAAAAAGGCATTTATCACCAAAGGTGGACAAGTGGTGCCTACCTGTCTTCCAAGCACGCATCGGCACTCCCAGCGCAGGTCAATGCACAACAATGCTATGTTGATGCTTGCACTTGAAATGCCATTTAGTGGTCACTCCACTCTGTAGTGTCATCCATGCGAAGCACACCAAACAACAGGTTTTTCTTATCTCCGCTGTTGACAACTGCTGAAGATTTCACAACCTTGCAAACCTGCGCAAACCATTATCGTAAGTTACAACACTCTTTGCACCATGGTTCTATACCAAACGCTGCGAACACCGGCAGAACGAAAAGTATCAGTATATATATATATATAATTATTCACAATCAGATATCCCCGTTAGAGGGATGGGGAGGGGTGTTACAAGGGACCGAGTGCCCTACCAAAATAAAGCACCAGAGCTTGCAGCTTACACCCTGTCAAGCTCTGTCACGATGTTGCGACTATGCATTTGCGCCATGGGGTGCTAAAGCGGCGGGTGCGGAGCCAGCTGGCCAGATGAGAGATGAAAAATTGCACGCCGTTGTGGCGCGAAGCACATTTCGAAGTCAAAATGTACAAAACACTAGGGGTTCGGACCACTTTTGGAAGTTAAGATGTGGGAAAAGTGCACGCCGTTGTGGCGCGAAGCACATTTCGAAGTCAAAATGTACAAAACACTAGGGGTTCGGACCACTTTTGGAAGTTAAGATGTGGAAAAAGTGCACGCCGTTGTGGCGCGAAGCACATTTCGAAGTCAAAATGTACAAAACACAAAATGCTCGGACCACTTTTGGAAGTTGCGATGTCGAAAAAGTGCACGCTGTTGTGGCGCGAAGCACATTTCGACGTCAAAATGTACAAAACACTAGGGGTTCGGACCCTTTTGGCTGTTGGTATCCCTTTGAACCTCTGAAGTCCTGGAGATGTCCGGGGAACCAGCTGACACAAGCTGAAACAACATGAAACAACAACATGAAACAGCCTGAAACAAAATGAAACAACATGAAACAACAAGAAACCACAAGAGACAACAAGAGACAACAAAAAACAACAATACATATCAAGAAACAACATGCAACAACAAGACACAGCAAGAAACAATAATAAACAACAAGAAACAAGAATAAACAACAAGAAACAGCAAGACACAACAATTAACATCTAGAAAAAAAAACAAGAAGCAACACACAGCAACAAACAGCAACAATCAGCAACAAACAGCAACAACAAACAACAAACAGCAACAACAACAACATTAACAAGAACAGGATCAACAACAAGAACCAACACAGGGACAAGGACAAGAACACAAACAAGAGCAGAAGCAACAGCCACAACCACAACCACAACCACAACTACATTCACAACAACAACCACAACCACAACCACAACCACAACTATATTCACAACCACAACCACAACTATATTCACAACCACAACCACAACCACAACCACAACTACATTCACAAGCACAAGCACAATCACACAATCACACAACTACGACTACTACGACTACTACGACTACTACGACTACTACGACTACTACGACTACTACGACTACTACACTTACTACACCTACTACGACTACTACCTAGTACCTAGTACCTAGTACCTAGTACCTAGTATACCTAGTACCTAGTACCTACTACCTAGTACCTCCTACCTAGTACCTAGTACCTAGTACCTGATAGCTGCTACCTGCTACCTGCTGCCTGCTCCCTGCTCCCTGCTGCCTGCTCCCTGCTCCCTGCTCCCTGCTCCCTGCTCCCTGCTCCCTGCTCCCTGCTACCTGCTACCTGCTACCTGCTACCTGCTACCTGCTACCTGCTACCTCCTACCTCCTACCTACTACCTACTACCTACTACCTACTACCTACTACCTACTACCTACTACCTACTACCTACTACCTACTACCTACTACCTACTACCTACTACCTCCTCCTCCTACTACTACTACTACTACTAGTAGTAGTAGTAGTAGCACCACCACAGCTACAACTAATACCACCACAGCTACAACAACAACAACAACTACTACTACTACTACTACTACTCCTGCTGCTACTACTACTACTACTACTACTAGTAGGACTACTAGTACTAGTACTACTCCAACTCGGACCTCCTTCTCCGACTCCGACTCCTATTCATATTCCATACCCCTACCCCTCCTACTGCTACTACTCCTACTATTCCCTATTTCTCCTACGACTCCTACTACTCCTACTACTACTACTACTGCTACTGCTACTGCTACTGGCACTCCTGCTTTTACTCCCGCTCTTAGTCCTGCTATCACTCCTGCTATTACTCCTGCTCTTACCTTGCTATTACCTCTGCTTTTACTCCTGCTATTATTCCTGCCATTGCTCCTGCGACTACTCCTGATTTTAGTCCTGCTATTACGCCTGGTTTTACTCCTTGCCTTTACTCCTGCTATTGCTCCTGTTTCTATTCCTACTACTCCTCCTACACCTACTCCTACCCCTGCTATTACTACTATTACTACTACTACTACTACTACTCCTCCTACTCTTACTCCTGCTCCTACTCCTGCCCCTATTCCTACTCCTACTCCTACTAGTCCCTCTATAACAACAACAAAGGAAGCAAAAGTCAAGGTATTGGCAGCACTGTGTTGCAGCCAGCAATGAGCCGTTCCAGGTTGCAGAAGACATGGGCGGAACCACCATGAGGGAACCACCATGAACCAACCACCCTCAAGTGACTTGTTGTCGCATGTGGTTGATTGAAAATAAGGGTATGGCTATGGCCCGAATCGTTTGGTTAATCAGCCACGCCCCTGATTAGGAACTGCAATTTTGGGTGCGTTTGCCATGTTGGGGGCGCAGGCCCATTAACAATGAAAGGGCTTCGTTGGTCGCGATGTCATGATGTAGTCCTGTTCCAGGGTGTATGTGCCATATGCTTACGTCTGGCGCTGTGTTGTAATGATAGCTCCAGGCAGTGTTCAAACCACTTCATTCCGCTCCAACAGTGATTGCGCTTGGCTTCGTTCGGTTGGAAATAACACTGCGCAAAACTTGGCTTGCCGCCCAGAAACGCACGATCGTCACAAGAATTTGACGCACAGCGAGATTGAAACAACCAAAGAATCCCAAAGATCTGTGTAAGTAAATGAATTTTGTTATTACTAGACATGCTACTGCGAGTCTTGCCACAGTTTTTGGAAATTCCCGCGCTGTTTTCAATACTCTGTTGCAGCAGGATGAAAGACAGCAACGTCGTGAAGGGCGCGAGCGGGTTGTCACAATCGCTTGGGATAGAAAGCTGCCTGGTGGTTTCAAACCAGTTTCCCTAGGATGCGTTGAAGCGAAACATAAGCCACGAAAACAAACAAAATCGATGCAACGGCACTTGCATTGTTCTGGCCCACCTTCACTCGCCTTGTTTAGACAGGCATTCCCAACGGCCGGCATGATCAATTAAGGCCTTTCTCATGACAGCTCGCCTTCCAGGAGACTCGCTACTTGGTGACGATCAGGCTGCGCCTCCGATTGCACCCTACCAAAGGGGTCTTTGGCCTCAGCTGGGTTCATGCTGCAGCTTCAACATGGAACGTTGCCCCGTTACCCGCGGCCCGTTAGACACAAAGGGAATACAATTGAGGTTTGGCAAGAGGTGATTTTGTTTGTTTATATTTACCTAGAAATGTCAGTCCAACGTTTGGTGATGTGACATGGAGTGTTTCTGGCCAGAATGCGGACACGTCGATAAACAAAATTGTGCGGCGTGACATTATGTAAAACAAGAACCCTTGTTTGAACAGTCAGCTGTGTTTAAACAGGCATGACCTCACAGCTGGATTGCCAACGGGACCTGTTTTAACATGTTTTAACTTGCTTTGTGTTTCAATCCTCGCTCTTGTTATTACTGGGTGCCACCGCCCTGACTTCCCAGCAAGTGAATGTTTGGATTTGACACATGTTCACATAAATTGCCACACTTGGTTTGCGTTTATGCGAGAAGAGATCCAAACCCACTGTTATGTCAAAATTATCTTGATGTGTTGATGTAACCTGTATTTGCTGATTTTCTCACATGTTTTTGGTTGACAATGACAACCATGTCATGTTGTGTGTTTCGCTACAACTGCTGTATATACGTTGAATGAAGAATTGAAATGGTAAATTTTCAAAAAAACCATTGGCAAATTTCCACACGCTTGGCCGCCGTGATGGTTGCCAAGGATCCGCAAACGGACTTCGTTTCCCATGGAACTCAAATAGCGGTTCCTTGACAGCAGGTCGGAAATGGCCAATACTGTACGTATCAATCTTTATGTATCAACATGTATCAATATTTCAATAACAGGTGATTAAACAACTGTAAGTTGAATTTGAACGGACATGTATACAATGTATACTGAGAATATCTGAAAATGTTATTGTGGTAGTGGTGGGTTGTTGTGGTCTGGTTTCACTCTCCTGACAAACCATGCGTTCCAATTATAGATCTAGTTAATCTAGCTGACAAGATAAAACTTACACAAAAAGATGAGCTGTTGTTGCACAGGTTCCGGCATCGTCTCAGGCGCATTGCGACTACGACATGGGCCCCGCACTGTCCAGTTTTTTTCGTAGGAAATTGATCGATCGAACCGTGATGAAATCATGGTCGTGGTCATCAGATCAATCAGCATCATGCGATTCACAGGTAAACCTATTTGTAAACCATCCCCAAATGGTTTTAGCCACCCAAAATGAAATCTCTCCTGCGTCCTGGGCTGCGACGGTTAGGTTTTGTTGCACGAGCTCTGCCACTTGAAGCACATGAATCACGGAAAGGAGTTGCCGGGTGAGAGTTTCACCGGTTGGCATTTCAGGACGGTATAAACAGAAAATATATAATCCCATACCGATACCCCTATATATTAAACACCCCTTGAATGGTCCCAAATATGTATGAATCCCCTACTAAACCACAGGTTTTGGGGGAAAGCAGGAGCAATGCCCGAGGCCTCTGTTGGTTGATGGTTACATGGCGCTGTGGATAGCCAACCCGTTGCATTTGCATGAAGCGCACCAATAAACATGTCACTCATTGCTTCACTACTATAAAAGAACATGAGTCCATAAGATTCCATTTTTAATAATATAGCATGTAACATGTACATATACGTTTTTTTGGGATGGGTTTCCATCCATTGTCTTGAAAGTGAAGGTAGTACCAGAAACATCACCAAGACCTCACAGGATTTCATGCTTTTTCTACGCGACATCTTCGCTTTCGCCCACAAAACGTCTCTTGGCCGCAAGTGGACCATGGATTTTCCCAAGTCAAAGGCATTTTTTGGGGATACGTCATTCGATTTTTGGACATACCCAGGGGGAAAAAAGGATCATCTGGTCTGATTCATATTTTAGTTGAAGTTGGTAGGTGGAACATGGTGGAAGTTCGAAAATCTCTCGGAGTCTGACGGTCAGTGGTTTCATTTCTAATCATGATGTTTGCATCATGTGAAAATATTGAAGGAACAGCTTGTGCAGGTGATAGTTTTGGATCAAAATGGTGCTATTTCTATTTGCATGGTTTTTGGTACCTCGTAGAACCGTAGAACTATAGTTCGAGCAAAGATGTTGAGGGAAAAGGTCCAAAACACCACTGAGGCTCGGCGTCTTTGCGGCTGGAGAGAGCAATGAGATTCCGTCACCTTGGAGCCCCGGAGAAAACGACAACAGATCTGATGGGTGGAAATATATGGGGATTTACCAGGGGGAAAAATTCGACAAACATGGAAAATCTGGAAGTGGAATTTATAGTTTGACTCAGCTTGAAAAAACACGTGTCACCAGCAAAACACCTGCGATTTCATTAGCAAAAGCGTAAGATGCAATCGCGAAAAATGGATTTAACTTTAGCAGCGAAATTCGAGATTGAACATGCAAAAAGTTGGATTTGATGATGTGATGAGCAAAGTAACAATAAAAGGGAGGACTTCAACCTTCAACGTATGGGTCCTGGTGTGGGAGCCATTTGGGTCCTGGTGTGGGGCCAGGAATCCAAGTTAGACGGGGATTGAGCCATTCCACTAGTGACTGGTGCAATATGTGTGATCCCGCGCCCATGATCCCGTCAAAGTAGTCACATCACTTGACAATGTTGGCCCATCATGTAGTTTTTCACTTGCATTGTGATTCACATAAATGTCCCTCTTGATGTTGAGACCGTTCTTTACCGCAACAGCAACCTCTGTAACTTCATAAGATACCGCTGCCTGTTTATGACGCGAACAGACCTTTGTGTGGCAGATGTATGTATTGGAACCCTTGAACACCGTTTTGGACAAGCTTGTTGACAGCCTCGTCGAATGTGTGTTGTCTGGCATTGGTCACACCAATCACATCATTTCACCTAAGGGTGTCCTAAAATGGACGACTCCCAAACATACCCAAATAACACAGACTTTGCTACTTGGTGGCCCATCCCACTTAGTAAATAGGTTATATATAACATGTTATCACATGTTATGACGTGGTATAACACTAGTTGTTAACCTTACTTATCCCACTTATGGTTTATGACGACCTACTTAGTATATAAGTGGGATGAGCCAGCAAGTAGCCAATGGTGCTGGAGCTTCCCCATGCCCGATGATCCCAGTATAGCACCTCCAAGGCCATGGGAAAACCTCATCTTCCAACGGGCAGGAGATGTTTCAGGCCCTAGCGGCGGGCACCGAACAGAGCTATAGATGTATCAGTTTTGTTCATTTTCCCCCAAAACATGGGGAGACAGGGGCTAATAGACTAAGAGTTTCCCGCATGATAGTTTAAGCAATTTGAAACTGCGGGAATTTATCTTCGGATTTCGCCACCATGGAGAGGAAATGGGTAGCCACAGTTGACAAATGATGGGTCAATCTGGGCAGAATGGTTGGTGAGCGGGTTCATTTTCAGCCATGTTTGAGGAATGACTTTGCTCGAAAGATTTCGATAGTCAGGCATGAGTAGATGATGACAGGTAACTGCATCCAGCAAGGAAATCATTTTCCAAATCCAAGGAGGTTCCAAAGTCAATCGAATTACTGGACATTACTGGCATGTTCCAATGCAGATGCTTCTGTCAGATGGTTGGTTTTCACTCGATTGTTTTGTCTTTAGAAGACCTCCTGACCGAACAGCGAAGAAAATAATCCCAGCGCCCCTCCTTGACCGAAAGCGTCCTGCCATCCTGGCAAAAACGGAGTTACTGCAATTATATATTTCAGGTCACAGAAAAGTTGTCCACAGAAGGGACGACAAGGTTGTCTGGAAATCCAGAACCACAAAATCAAGTGGTTTATCATCATTCTCCCCACTGAGATCCTCCATTTTTACATAGATTTGTACAGACCCAAGAAACCAGCAGGAGGCCCAAGGTCCAGTGTCAAGGTGTCAAGGGTCTCCACTGCAACCATCATTCCACCAAAGGGTTTTGTAAACAGATGCTTACAATGCAGGTACCTCAAAATAGTTGAGTTGGTTTCGTTTGCTTTTTTAGCTCCAATAAAATGCATTGATCTGGATGTTTAGAGGATATATTCTAGAGTTGTGTGAGTTTTATATCAGCATCATTAATAATCAAGTCATAACTAACTGCAGAGGCCCGTGATAGCCAATGATCACTTTCGGATGAGACATAGAAGCTGAAGTAAGGTATGTGCCAAACTGCTAAACGACAACTACACGTTTGTCCTCATTTATAGGGTAGCTTAGTTATATTTAAGATTATCTAAGTATATTGCCATTTTTGATGATGTGAAATGCATTGAAATTCCATGTATGGGTCAGTTTCGCAGTGGTGCCTTGTCACAAAGTGGGCTGATCCACAATGTGGTAAACCTGGTAAACCCAAGAATTAGCCCTTAAAGAAGCGGTTCTACCAAATTCCACCCCAAATAAAGTACCAAAAAAAAACAGTGTTTGTCAAGCTTATGATTATTATTCTTTTCCCATTGAAATTGAAATTGCCATTTTGATGTAGCTCCCGCTTTTTGGACAGTCTCTTAAACCATGTTTCATTATATAGCTACAGCCCTGTTCCTTTCATGGTTGGGTCTCCATGTCACATGCCCAATTTAGGGCCCATGAAATCTGTTTCGAAACTCTCCCAGATGAAGAACTCTTGAAACTCTTTGCCGAGCATCGGGAGAAGCAGCGGCAGGTGGGCTTCCGGTTCAACGACAGGGTAGCTGGGGTTGGGTCAAAACAGTCTGAGATGGGGATATATGTTGTGGATTTTTGTCGGAATATATATATATATGATTTGGGATGTTATGATTCATCCGACAATTGGGCTTATCATGGCTTACCTGGCATGGGGCATGGGCCGCAAAAATCGCCACGTGAGTGGCCATGGGTAATGATCAACCACCGAATTTGCTTTCTAGTTTCATACAAACCACATGCTATTCGTCCAATGAAGAAATGGAGCAAAACGTTGAACTCCAAAAAATGGTTGGCAGTGGGGCAGTGGATCCAAAATGCATGGGAAACATCAATTTTGAAATTATTTGTCTCACAGAAGACGAACTATGGCTAATTATGCCGCCTATTATAATACACAAGAATCCTCCGAACTATTTGTTTTGGCAGCGTTGGCCACCCTGAATTTATGTTTTTTTGTTCACCCGCTTTCAATCAACCAGTGGCACTGGTTAGCTCTTGGGTGCTGAAGGTGAAAACTCCCGAGGCTCCGGAAGAAGCGAAGGAACCGAACCAGGTAGAAGCAGAGACAGAGGCTGGACGTATCTAGCGGATTTGACCATCCAGTTGGGGTTGGTTTAAACGTAGTATATATGTATACCGTAAAACCCAATGGATGATAGTCTTACCCATCAAATTGGTAATTTTGGAGTATATCATGGTATACCCAGAGTTTTTCTCGGCAAACCCATGTTGGGGGTCTTGATTGGGACGAATTGAGTATTTTTCGTGGTGGCAAAATACTGATAGCTGAGATCCATGGCAGGAATTCCTATCCACAACCAAGTTTCTAGAAGCTTTTTCCTATATACGCAACTAGTGATACCGTTTGTTTTTTTAGAATGGGATCGTAGCGGATAAGCATCTGTAGACTGTAGATGAGTAATTTTCTAGCTAGCCAGCTTAAATTACTATACGGTGTAAACATGAAATATGGACATTTTCTGGTTGCTTACATCCATCAACAATGGGGATTTCACCGAGAATGATATTGCCAGGTTCAATTGTTGGAGGATATGGTCAAATCATGTCAAATCGTTGCCAAATCCATTATTCATCGTTTAATTTTGTTAAATCCCCATTGTTCAGTCCTAATTTTTCGCAGTTTTTGATGCTTAAATCATTTAAAATCCCAATATATAATCAAATCCATGGTTTATGTGTTGTCTTTCCCGCTTCTGATTCTTAAATCCAGTGTTTGTTTCATGTTTTCCCGGTAAACCATGTTTGCCCCCACATCCAAAAGGGACCCCGCCATTTCGCCAGGCAGAAGTGTTGCCGGAGGTGCCTGAAGCGCTGGACATCGAGGCGACATGTGAGAGTTCGCAGCAACAAAAATGCGATGTCATGGGTATATATCACCATGTACCAGTACCAGATATCACCAGTAAAAAGTTTAAGTTCAGGAAGATGAAAGCTGAACATCTCCAGAATACCAGGAACATTGATGAAATTGGATTCTTAAGCAGGTCGATGAAACCATCAGCCTGGCCTAGGCTGTCAGCACGAGCGCTTCAGACGGTGTGAAGACACCTCCGCGCAGCCGAGGGTCAAGGGTCCTGAAAGGAGCCCTTTGGGCCACGGCCCAGGGTGTCATGCCTGGTGTACCCTTCGGTAATCTTTAATAACAATCGAGATTATATAATGGGTTTCCCAAGGAAATGGTCAACAATTGGTAAAATTTCCATATCTATGTTAGTGTGCTGGAATTGGTCGAACTGAGTGGAACTGAGTGAAACTGACTTTCACGTCGTCGTACTGCTGAATTAGTTTGATTTATCCTTTCATATCCTTCCCAAATAAGACTTTAACTATTTTGACATAGGGACTTAACCCACAGAAATTATATATGAACTGTTTTGGGGGTGAGTCAAGTCAAAACCTATGTTTTTACCTCAGAGAGAAGGAATGTCCGAGAACATCGCATTCAGCAAGTTGAAATGGGAACTTCCACGGCCAAAAAGGGGAAATCCCTATCAAACCCTTTGGAAATGGTGATGGAAATCCCAATGAAATCCCTACCCAAGCACTCGTCCGCAACGGGCTTTGCTCACTTGAATTCGCTAATGATTTTGGAGATCTAAACGGTGGGAGCTGATGATTCACCACATGGTTTATATATATATGTAGAGATTGAACAATAACAGGGAACTCTGGTTGAAGATGGTTTGTGACTCAATCAATGAACGGCGTACACTTCTTTGCCGAGAACTTGATCAGCCCGGCCGCCAACTGCAAGGCTCAGAAGCCATCAGTGAGAACCAAAAACCATCAAAAACCTGTAGCGTCCACTGCATCCACCAGTGCAAATTTTCAAGTCTTCGGGAGGAAGAAAGCCTACGCCAAAGGCTCAATACCTATCAATATCTATCAGTATCTCCCATTTCTCCCAGGCGGCAGTTGAATCCAGGCACGTCTCCTCGTGTTTCTTGTACCAGGGCAGACCTCACAGACCCTGGATTCTCTGAGCTGATAGCAGGACCCACACCTGACGCAAACCGGAAGATTCATGTGATCAACCATTATCCAAAAACCGAAAACCCGGATGTTTCTGATTGTCAAACCATGTTGGGGATGATGAAAACTGACTGATCTGAAATATATTTCTGTGGCTCCAGTGATTCACCACATCACAGCAACCCGCGCTAATGGCGGAGCCATCCAAGCGCCAGAGGTTGGCATCGGCGCGCTTTACAGAGGCGGAAGGACCATGTTTTCTGGCAGATGATTCCACTTATTTCTACCAATGTCTCGTTTCCGTGAAACTACGGTGAAACTCACATAGGACAACACATACCCAAAAGATATATTTTTGTTCCCAAGTCCGGAAATGTCACCATTCAGTTTAGGCTTCTGTTCGAATTTCCGATATAATTTGAAGATATAGTCTCTCATCTTTCCACAGCCATTTTTAACGGCAGGTGGCCGTAGCGTTAGAAGCCTACTTTGATGGCCTTCACAACGGCGACGTGGATCGTTTTAAGGAGGTTTGGCATCCCGAGGGGCATCTCTACTGGATTTCGCCGGAGGGAGACCTGGTGGATCGCAATGCGGAACAGTTCATTGTCCCTTGGTGTTTTTTCCCGAGAGCGCCTGCGAAGGGTTCTTCGTAAAAAAGCAGCCGTTATACTAGATCTTCACACCTTCACATCTGCCGATCTACATCTTCACACCTTCACATCTGCTGATCTACATCTTCACACCTTCACACCTGCAGATCTAGATCTTCACACCCTCACATCTGCAGATCTAGATATTCACACCTTCACACCTGCAGATCTAGATCTTCACACTCTCACATCTGCCGATCTACATCTTCACACCTTCACATCTGCTGATCTAGATCTTCACACCCTCACATCTGCAGATCTAGATCTTCACACCCTCACACCTGCAGATCTAGATCTTCACACCCTCACATCTGCAGATCTACATCTTCACACCCTCACATCTGCCGATCTAGATCTTCACACCTTCACATCTGCAGATCTAGATCTTCACACCCTCACATCTGCAGATCTAGATCTTCACACCCTCCCACCTGCAGATCTAGATCTTCACATCCTCACACCTGCAGATGTAGATCTTCACACCCTCACATTTGCAGATCTACATCTTCACACCTTCACACCTGCAGATCTAGATCTTCACACCTGCAGATCTAGATCTTCACACCCTCACACCTGCAGATCTAGATCTTCGCACCCTCACACCTGCAGATCTAGATCTTCAGACCTTCACATCTGCAGATCTCCTCTCGCTCTTCTTCTATTCTCTCTTAAGGCGGGGGCGGTGCCGCCGGAGCGCCACGAAACGCAACCCTTTCGCACGAAATGGACGTTGGACGTCCAAAACCTAGGAAAAATTGCGATTTTGAGGTGTCGCGCGCAACCCTTTCGCACGAAATGGACGTTGGACGTCAAAAACTGAGGAAAAATTGCAACTTTTATTGGTCGCGCGCAACCCTTTCGCACGAAATGGACTTGGACGTCAAAAACTGAGGAAAAATTGCAACTTTTATTGGTCGCGCGCAACCCTTTCACACGAAATGGACGTTGGACGTCAAAAACTGAGGAAAAATTGCAACTTTTATTGGTCGCGCGCAACCCTTTCGCACGAAATGGACGTTGGACGTCAAAAACTGAGGAAAAATTGCAACTTTTATTGGTCGCGCGCAACCCTGTCGCGCGAAATGGACGTTGGACGTCAAAAACTGAGGAAAAATTGCAACTTTTATTGGTCGCGCGCAACCCTTTCGCACGAAATGGACGTTGGACGTCAAAAACTGAAGAAAAATTGCGACTTTGAGGTGTCAATCGCAACCCTTACGCACGAAATGGACGTTGGACGTCAAAAACTGAGGAAAAATTGCGATTTTACTGTGTGTAACAGCTTCTGTGTGTAAAAGCGCCTGTGTGTAAAAGCGTCTGTGTGTAAAAGCGTTTGTGTGTAAAAGCGTCTGTGTGTAAAGGAGTCTGTGTGTAAAAGCTTCTGTGTGTAAAAGCGTCTGTGTGTAAAAGTTTCTGTGTGTAAAAGCCTCTGTGTGTAAAAGCTTCTGTGTGTAAAAGCGTCTGTGCGTAAAAGTTTCTGTGTGTAAAAGCTTCTGTGTGTAAAAGCCTCTGTGTGTAAAAGGCTTCTGTGTGCAAAAGCTTCTGTGGTTTAAAGGGTCTGTGTTTAAAAGGGTCTGTGTGTAAAAGCGTTTGTGTGTAAAGCGTCTTTGTGTAAAAGTCTCTGTGTGTAAAAGCTTCTGTGTGTAAAAATGCTGTGTGGTAAAAAAGGGTCCTGTGTGTAAAAGGTCTGTTGTGTTAAAAGCTCTGTGTGTAAGCGGCCCTGTGTGTAAAAGCGCCTTTGTGTAAAGCGTCTGTGTGTAAAAGCGTCTGTGGTGTAAAAGCGTCTGTGGGTAAAAGAGTCTGTGTGTAAAACCGTCTGTGTGTGAAAGCGTCTGTTGTGTAAAAGCGTCTGTGTGTAAAACCGTCTGTGTGTAAAAGCGTCTGTTGTGTAAAAGCGTCTGTGTGTCAAAGCCTCTGTGTGTAGAAGCGTCTGTGTGTAAAAGCGTCTGTGTGTAAAAGCTTCTGTGTGTAAAAGCGTCTGTGTGTAAAATCGTCTGTGTGTAAAAGCGTCTGTGTGTAAAAGCGTATGTGTGTAAAAGCGCCTGTGTAAAAGCCTCTGTGTGTGAAAATGTTGTGTGTAAAAGTGTCTGTGTGTAAAAGCGTCTGTGTGTAAAAGCGTCTGTGTGTAAAAGGGTCTGTGTGTAAAAGCGCCTGTGTGTAAAAGCCTCTGTGTGTGAAAGTGTTGTGTGTAAAAGTGTCTGGGTGTAAAAGCGTCTGTGTGTAAAAGCGTCTGTGTGTAAAAGCTTCTGTGTGTAAAAGCGTCTGTGTGTAAAAGCGTCTGTGTGTAAAAGGCTCTGTGTGTAAAAGCGTCGGTGTTGTAAAAGGGTCTGGTGTGGTAAAAGGGTCTTGGGAAAAGCGTCTGGTGTAAAAAGCGTCTGTGGTGTGAAAGGAGTCTGTGTGTAAAGCTTCTTGTGAAGCGTCTGTGTGTAAAAGCGTCTGTGTGTAAAAGTGTTTGTGTGTAAAAGCTTTTGTGTGTAAAAGCCTCTGTGTGTAAAAGCGTCTGTGTGTAAAAGCGTCCTGTGTGTAAAAGCGTCTGTGTGTAAAAGCCTCTGTGTGTAAAAGCCTCTGTGTGTAAAAGTCTCTGTGTGTAGAAGCGTCTTTGTGTAAAAGTGTCTGTGTGTAAAAGCGTCTGTGTGTAAAAGCGTCTGTGTGTGCAAAAGCGTCTGTGTGTAAAAGCGTCTGTGTGTAAAAGCGTCTGTGTGTAAAAGCGTCTGTGTGTAAAAGCGTCTGTGTGTAAAAGCGTCTGTGTGTAAAAGCGTCTGTGTGTAAAAGCGCCTGTGTGTAAAAGCTCTGTGTGTAAAAGCGTCTGTGTGTAAAAGCTTCTGTGTGTAAAAGCCTCTGTGTGTGAAAGTGTTTGTGTGTAAAAGCGTCTGTGTGTAAAAGCGTCTGTGTGTAAAAGCGTCTGTGTGTAAAAGCTTCTGTGTGTAAAAGCGTCTGTGTGTGTAAAAGTGTCTGTGTGTAAAAAAGCGTCTGTGTGTAAAAGCGTCTGTGTGTAAAAGCGTCTGTGTGTAAAAGGGTCTGTGTGTAAATGTGTTTGTGTGTCAAAGCGTCTGTGTGTAAAAAGCGTCTGTGTGTAAAAAGCTTCTGTGTGTAAAAGCCCCTGTGTGTAAAAAGCGTCTGTGTGTAAAAGCGTCTGTGTGTAAAAGCTTCTGTCTGTTGTAAAAACACCTTCGTGTAAAAGCGCCTGTGGTGTAAAATCTCTGTGTGTAAAAGTGTCCTGTGTGTAAAAGCCTGTGGTGTGAAGTGTTGGTGTGTAAAGCTTCTGTGTGTAAGTGTCTGTGTGTAAAAGCGTCTGTGTATAAAAGCCTTCTGTGTGTAAAAGCGTCTGTGTGTAAAAGCGTCTGTGTGTAAAAGCGTCTGTGTGTAAAAGTGTCTGTGTGTAAAAGCGTCTGTGTGTAAAAGTGTCTGTGTGTAAAAGCGACTGTGAAAGTGTTTGTGTGTAAAAGCATCTGCCTGTAAAAGCGCCTGTGTATAAAAGCGTCTGCGTGTAAAAGTGTCTGTGTGTAAAAGCGGTTGTGTGTAAAAGTGTCTGTGTGTAAACGCGTCTGTGAAAGTGTTTGCGTGTAAAAGCGTCTGTGTGTAAAGGAGTCTGTGTGTAAAAGCTTCTGTGTGTAAAAGCGTCTGTGTGTAAAAGCCTCTGTGTAAAAGCCTCTGTGTGTGAAAGTGTTTGTGTGTAAAAGCTTCTGTGTGTAACAGCTTCTGTGTGTGAAAGTGTGTGTGTCTAAAAACATCTGCGTGTAAAAGCGTCTGTGTGTAAAAGCCTATGCGTGTAAAAGTGTCTAGTGTCTGTGTGTAAAGGCGTCTGTGTGTAAAAGCCTATGTGTGTAAAAGTGTCTAGTGTCTGCGCGTAAAACCTTCTGTGTGTAAAAGCTTCTGTGTGTAAAAGCGTCTGTGTGTAAACGCTTCTGTGTGTAAAAGCGTCTGTGTGTAAATGCGTCTGTGTGTAAAAGCGTCTGTGTGCAAAAGCGTCTGCGTGTGAAAAACAATACGAAGGATAGGATGCAAACCAGTGTTTTGTACTTGTAGTATATTGTCTTGATACTACTTGTCTCGCCTGCCTAAAATACATCTTTAATATATTGTCTTGCAATATAGTGTCTCAATACTAACAACAGAAGACCCTGCTCTCTCTCTCTCTCTCTCCCTCTTTCTTTCTCTCTCTCTCTCTCCCTCTCTCTCTCTCTCTCTCTCTCTCCCCCTTTCTCTCTATCTATGTCTCTCTGTGGTTGCAAGACACGTGTCATATGATGCCCTTTACCAAGCAGCACAGTGCAATGCATGGGTTGTCACATGTATCCTCTTCTTAATCAATCTTACTTTTCACAACTTACCCCTCCATAGCTCATATAAAATTCACCAACCTATCACCGACTATTTTTTACGACTACCATACTCAGAGCTGCTTGAAAAACGGCTTTTTCGCTCTCGGGCCAACCGTCGTCTAGTTTGTTGTGTCAAAACCCATACCGTTGTGATGTTTTGGAGCTCAAGAGTGTTCAAAAGACCCAACAAGTTTCGAGCCGAGGATCCCATCTTCGTATAGAGGAATGAACTGACTTGGGTGTGTCTGAAAATGGAGGATAATTACCCCCGAATGGCCATTTAAATTAATAGGAAAATGATGATAGACCAATGGATTTTTGGATAAGACAAACCCACTTCTGACCTTTATAAAGAAAATATGATGCGCAGAACAGGAATCAGAACGGGCATTCCTTCTACATCCCTTGATCGTGCGTCGAAACTGGTTCCATATACAGCCTGTTCTGCTCCTCAATTTGGGTCCCTGCCAAGAGGTTGGATACTGGACTTTCTCTCAAGGTTGCTCATTTTGAGGGTAGGAAACTTGGTGAATGTCATGAATGGTGAGTGTTAAATGTATGACGATATTATGTTTGGTTGTGCTCAAACTTGATGAATAGCGCGTGGCTCGAGCCCAGGCCTACGTAGAAGAAAACAAGAAGTCCCCGCACTTGGCAGAGTATGATCCACGATGGCAAGGGATCAGACATGGGCAGTGAAAAAAAAAGCAAGTGTCGAACAAAATAACAAGGAACAAGTGGAGTATCTTGTGTTTGTAGATGTGCTTGGATGTTTATCGGCGTATATGGTGTTGCCCATGCTGGTTTGTCTTCGGGGTACATAGGGGGCTCACTGACTAGGGGTACGGGTTGAAGCTGCATGATCTTTTGGTTTTGGAGAATGTTTGATGGATGAAATTGTCATCTTGCACTAGTTCAAACTCGATTGGCTGATGCAGCCCCGTTCCAGATTATTTATTCATATTTATTGTATGCATTTATCTTGCATTGCTAAAAGTCAACACTTTTGATCTGCTATCTGCGGTGTTATTTAACACTTTGCTTTGGTATCCGAAAGTCGGTGGACAAATCCATAACAGATTTAGCAGTTGCCGCCATTTACTGCACTTAAAGCCCAATCATCCACGGTTTTGTTATGATTGAACCCCAAGAGGTATCATGATTTGACAACATTCTACAATGCACAACACAGGATTTGACCAACAAGACATGCAGTCTGACACAGGCAACCAAAATAGGGGTAGAAAAGCAAGAGGTGGGTTTCTCTGAAAATAGGGTGCCCCCAATTTCACTGCTTTCTCATCGTTATCAATACTAAAAGTGTCGTTGGGCTACATCCCCTACTTCCAGACTCACCAAATATCGTATTGTTGATTTCAAGTTGTTGTTTTTTGCATGTTGCAGGCAAACACCCATAAACTGCGTTATTCAGTGATCATTCCTGTTGTATATCCCATGAAATAGCCCCAGTGCAGTCGGTTGTAAACACCAATGTTTGCTAGCAAATTGGCTGTTATAGAGGTTGTATATCCATGTGCGACCTTTCTATTTTCAGAAAATGCTATTGTCATAAAATTACGTACCAACATATACATATGGAGGTTTCCTAGAATGGGTGTAGCCACCAAATCATTTTTGGGGGACTGTCCACCATAAACTAGCTGTAGCTTCTGCAACCCAATTCTTCTCTTCGCGCAGCTGTGGTTTTTTTCAGGTGGCGGATCGCCGAAGTAGGGTCTCTGTTTCTGCGGGTGCACGCCTCGATCTCGGAAAGTTGTGGACCAATAGTGCACAAGACTTTGGCCAGGGCTCGATTTTGGCCAAAAAATTGCTTCTCGCTGCATGTTCGGCGCACTTTTGAGAGATGATGTCGGCAAAATGTGAACGAGACTGTAGCGAGAGCACATGAGAGCTCGATTTCACGAAAAAAAATCGCAACAAAAACGCCATGTTCGGAGTAGCGCCGGATTTGCGCGGTCGCTTCCGCACTGTTGACGGTGCGTGAATGTTGGTAAATGCGTCGCAGCGCTCCTGCTTTGCAGGTTTGCAACCGGCTGGCGCAAAACGCAGTGGCACGGCTGCGCGCAGGAAAGCATTACTTGATGATGATGATGGTGGTGGTGATGATGAGGATGATGATGACAAGACTGCCCCTGGACATTTGTCTGCAACTCGGAAGTGTGTGAACTAAACTTCCTTTGAGATCCTTTGAGCATGTATTTGGTTTTTAGCTAATGATGTGTAAACCCGCCAGTGTCTTATTTGTGGGGACCTGAAGCCGGAAAAAATACTATTGAGTGTTTCGAACCTACAAGTATTGGAAAATTTGCTCGTTGCCTTGAACAGTTTGCTGGCCACAGCAGCAGATTTGTGGAACTATATATATATATGTGTGTAAAAGCGGTTCTCCAAGAATTGGAGGACCCAGTTTTCACAGCACCTGGCAATGCTGAACTTTCAGCGCTAGTTCAGCAAGCTGCAGAGGTGTTCGAAGATTGCCTGTGTTTCCTCACTGGGTTTCACAAGATGACGGTGTAGGGCAGACGGATGCTTTGTTGCCGCGTTCTTTTGGAGAAAAGTGGCCAGAGAGTCTGTCAGATCTAAATAGCATGAGCTGGGAGCTCCCCTTGTAATTTTATGGAAAACAGAGTTTCTATATAATCTAACCAATCTTAGATAGGTCGCGAATCTCCATGGAAACGGCTCCCGGAATTCGATGTTGCAGCTGAAAGTTGGCCATGAATGTCAGCATGGAAAGCCCCCCTCGTTTTCTTGCGCAACAAACTCAACGTCCCGTCGTTCAGCCAAACATTTGGCTAATTTTTTGAAGATAAGTACCTGCGCCTCACTACTTTTCACTTTTGAGTCATGCAAATCTTCCACCACGAGGTGCCTGGGAAGATGTATGAGCCGGTGGGTGATGGCCAATGACCTGGACAAGTGCTTAGCCACGCGCCGGAGTGATACTTTGATGTTGCGCTGGGGCGAAGACAAGCTTACCTCGCAGAACCTCATTCGACTCTGCAGTGGGCACCAGGTGGTCCAAGGGTGTCTAGCTTGAATTTAGTAGCCAGCAGGGTGACCTTCCTCAATAAGTATTTTTTTATGTTCAAAGGGGCGGCTGCCGGCAACCAATCAGGCTCATGGTTGACAATGTGCTCGTACTCAACCGTGGCAACTTTGGTCCTCGTGGCCCACCGCTTGACTGTCCTGATGGCCAAGTAGCTCAGCCAATTTTGAAAGAGTTGTGCCATCCGCATTGCTTTCTCGCATGCCACTCAGCACTCATGCCTTGCCCGCCGGGTACGGGTGCTCCTGAAAAATATTTCGTTGACACTTGAAGAGCTGTGGGTCGCCCCTGATGAATCCCTTGGGCTCACAGATGAATCGCGGTTCACCATGCCAAATTTACTTGAAGTTGCAGAAGAAAAGTTTCTTTGTTTGCAGAAATGCGTCGGGGCTCTGCAATGTACAGAAGTCAGCTCTGCTGGCATTCGCTGACAAGCACACTGTGAGCAGTGCGGCGGGGAAAAGCCGCAGGCGGCGCAAAGTTCAATGGCTGGGAAGCCTGGCTGGGAGGTCTGGCTGGGAAGCCTGGCTGGAAAGCTTGGCTGGGAAGCCTGGTAGCATCGCTTGATTATCGGTTTGGCCGCATGGCTGCACCATACAAGCTAGCCACTTTCTCCCTCACGTGGCATTGTTACAAATTGTGGCTTGTTCAATATTCTTTAAACCTCACTCCAGCAAACCTGCTCGTTTGACCCCCATGTCCCGGAGATGGCCACCAGCTTTTCAGTCTAGGCTTCAAGCAATGGCAGCACCATGTCCCAATGTCGAATGCATGTTGAATGGCAACACCTTTCAACTTGAAAGTGCCGCGTGTGCTGGTGAAACTTCGGTCCTCTTGAATACATTGTAATATATCGAGCACTATTCCAAGCAAACTTGTGTTTCCTGAAGAACCAACAGTTGTCAACACTGCAAACCCGCAGGGTATACCAAGATACCTCTAAACATCGCCAAGCAACTGCATTTGACATCGCCATTACGGCATTCCAGCGGTTGGACACTCTGGCTGAAACAGGGCGCGTTGCGGGGGCAGCTGCCGCAGCCTAAAGCGATGTGAAAAGGGAACACCTCCAGACTGCTCAGCTGTGCGCTTCTCAGAACGTGCACTTTCAGCCTTTGGTCGCGGAGAGCACGGGGACCTGGTGCCCTGAAGCTAGCAAGGTCCTTCGCCAAATTGCACGGGCAGCCGCCCTTCGTTCTGGCGAGGACTGTGGTCTTGCTCAGGCCCATCTGTTTCAGGAAGCATGTGTTGCCATCCGGGGTATTGTGCCCGAGCAGCTCTCCGGCGCCGTGCCGAGCTGAATGCCGTATTTGTTTGAAGTCAATGATTCAATGGGTCAGTGAATCTATGGATCAATGACTCAGTGAATCAATGAACCAATGAGTGAGTGAACATGATTCATTGAGCGAATGATTCGATGAGCCGATGAATCAGTGAACTACGAATCCGTGAATCAATGAGTCCGTGAATGAATGAACCAATGATTCAATGAATCAATGAAATGGATGAGTGAGCCTGAGTGAGCTACCTCTTTGTTGGGCTACTTCTTCACTGACCGACATCTTCACGGAGGTACCTCTTCTCTTCTCGGCTAATTACTTCTTCTCTGGGCAGCCGCTTATTTGGGCGACTTGTGCTCTGAGCTGCCTCCCCAGCTGCCATCCATTTTGGGATAACCTCCATATGGTTAAATCCCTTTTGTTCGATGTCTCAATCCTAACTGTTTACCATTTCTGATGTTTACATGATCAAATCCCCATTGAATTCCCATAAGATGGTTCTTTATGAATAAGCGTAACTTCGTTAGCTTTGTCTATCCTATCCCCGCAATATTCAACACCCCTCATACACCATGGCTTCGAGGGGGATTTACACCTTTTTGGGACCATTTAGGGGGTGTTCAATACTAGGGGGATGGGCTTCTGTAGTTGTTTAAGACTATCTACACCCTCTAATGAACATATTTTTTTCTGGTCAAAGGCATCGGTTTGGCCCAGGATCAAATCATTCGCCTGGACTTCGCCTCGGATCGCTGCTGCTGTGCGAAGCTGCAGATTGCCCTCTGCGCGGAACACGGAGAGCGGCGCTACACGGATCTGCTGCTGCTACTGAGGTTGTGCTTTGGAAAAACTTGGGTTTGTTTAAGGTGCATGATTTAAGGTGAATTCATGTGGCTTGTTTCTTGTCCCAATGGGAAATCCACTACTTGGGGAATCTATATGACATGTTTTTTACTTTTGGGGAATCCTTATGCGATTCCAAGAAAATGAGGAAGATCCTTTATCTGGATGATAGCAGAAGTAAGGGGAATCATCCCCAAATGGCCGTTTGATAACAATTTTTCCAGGTGAGCGAATTATTATAATTCAGGTCAGATCCGCAAACATATGTGCCACGGCAGTCAAGTTACTTGGGTTAAAACCGGCAATGATAGGGGATGGGAATCATCAATCGTTTTTCCAAGGGATTTATATTATACCCATTCTGTTCCGTGTCCCACTGTGGGAAGGATGATTGTAAACCATTGACCATGTTTTGACCATGAGAGGACATATCAAGAGGTAAGTACCCTGTACATTTGTTCCATACGGATAGATTTTGGCATCTGGAGTGGACTGCACCTTCTGCCAATCAAACATGTCGCTATGAAAGATGGCCCGTTTGGCTCGATGATTTACCTATATATTGTAAAAAACAAAATCTGTAGTTATCTGATGTTACCTGATTATCTTGAATTCCGAGAAGGTAGTAAATCTCCGGTGATTTGTGACAGATATGCAGCCAACATCCGTATTTAACAACACAAATTCGGTCGGCGGAAAAGGTTGTATTAAACCCCCCCAAAATGATGACTTGAACTTAAAATTACAGATCACTTGTGTTTTTCTCAAGTGAGAGATCGGCCCCCCAATATCGTGCCACCAAATAAGCAAATATTGGCGACGACGGTGGAAAAACTATGGGGAGCGTAGAGACTCCATTTTGAGGCAAATCATTCACTCATGGGAACTTACCAGTGGGGCATAATGCAACCAAGAAGCTGGGATTTCAACAAAAATGGTGATACGACGAGCGAATGATGGGCAAACCACTGGTATCCAGCTAAGGGATGCTAAGGGTATGTTTGGTTGCCATACGTGGGGGAATCTAGGACTATGACTACTTCCCAGCCAATTTTTGTCGCCTCGATTTGCCAGGGTAGAGTCTGTGAGAATTGGGGAAAGGAGCATGTGCAGGGGGATGGGTGATTTGTGGTTTTTCTGTAACATTGCTGGGGATGAACTTCCATCTACATCAGCATTTTGTTGGAGAAAAACAAAGGCACCAATGGGTCGGGCATCTCTCCGAATATTCTCCGCACGCTTGGGCCGAGGTTTGGATGATTTTTTCTCCAACTGGTTGGTTGAATGTTGGTTGATTATTCGAGGGAACGCCCAAAATAAACCATGAGTAGGTAAATGGTACCAAACCTACCTATCTTTCTTAACCAGAAGGACAGTCTTGCCTCCAAAGTGGACGATTGGATGGTTCCTGAATGGTTATGAACCAGCTATGATATTCAAAATTAGGATCGACCACCTGTGTAAGAGTCCAACCGCGCACTTCCTGGCATAGTAGGCAGAAGAGGAAAGACATCCAGACATACCCAGACCTATCCCAGAATTGGTTAGCAGGAAAAGTAAGACCGCAAACCTCAACCAATTTAGGCGCCAAAACCCTGGTTTCTGAATGTTTCCGATTAAAATTCTCCCAGCGAAAGCCAATCAATTGATCATCCAACATTTGGTCCGTTGATCATATCCCCCAGCACTAGTTCGATGATTTTACCAGCTGTTATAAACTTACTTCCATTTGTAGAAAATGATCCCGTAATACCAATCCATATGAACCAAAAGATCCCAATAAATCCATCTAAATCACCATTTTTCATGGTTTTCACCAAAACAAATCCATTGAACTCACCTAGGCACGGCAAATGGCAGATCATCAGCAAGGTTTTCTCCTCTGTGCCGTTGACGGAGCTGTCCCACGAGGAACGCCAGGATGACTTGCCGTTCGCAGTTGGCGAGCCGGTGCGCGGGGTCTTGGAGTACTACCGGGGCGGTCACCTTTCACGACCGGATGCTTGGATAGGACCGGAAGATGGATGTGAAGTTACTGATGCATGAGTTTCTGAGGGGTGTTTGTTTTTAGGGGGATGGGACTCCATGATTCATGCCAGCCGGGATGCATGCTAAATCCTGGTTGAAAGAATTAAAAAGCGGTGTTCCTACAAAACAGTGATGGCTTGATGCTCAAATGATATCCCTATCATATCCCCCTGTTTGGACATGGGACAAACATTAGATTATTTTGGGCAGACAAACTCTTGAAAGCTCTCGATTTTCCATGTTCGAAATTTCTCATATCCTCCAGACAAAAGTGGAGCCGGGAGACAAAAGGCATGTGAGTGTCTTCATATTTCGGAACATATTATACGAAACAGATACATAATATGTCACAGTCATATTTATTATTTAATACTCATATGAATTCTGTATAAGTGATTAGAAGTGCAATTTGTATTGCCCCAAAACTCGAGACATGTTTCGCAGTGCAACATCCGACGAGGAAATCATCAAGGAGAACTTCCACAGCTCCGCGCGGCTGACCTTTTCCAACGACTCTGAAGAACTGGTCACGTAGCGGTTGACATGGGAGCAGTGGCCACCGCTAAACCTCTGTGGGTTAATTATCTTTATTGTCATTGATTATATCTGTTGGTTTATCGAAGGAAGTTTAGAAGTCAAACTTCCGACAATATGGACAGATGAAAAGCAGAGCAGGGCAGAGGCAGAGAGAAGAGAAAGACTAGAAGAGAGAAGAGTAGAAAGAGAAAGAGTCAGAAGAAAGAAGATGCAGATGCGCGAAAAGGTAGGAAAGTCGCGAACGCTGTGTTTTTCCAATGATTTGTGGCCCCGGATGGTCGAAGAGTAGGCTCGCTAAAGTGGCGGGTGCGGAGCCAGCTGGCCAGATGAGAGATGAAAAATTGCACGCCGTTGTGGCGCGCCCCCCAAGCTTGGTTTATGCATGACGATTTCAATTCCAAAGGGGTCAGTCTATGATTTTCCGCCAATATCTCCAATGTACCCTCCGGTAATCAAACCTGGCAATGAACAGTCCCTGTGGCCCAGCCATGGAGGTTTCATCTTTTGTGATTTCATCGAGTAAACACAGCCATGGAGGTTTCGTTCGCTGTGATTTCATCGAGTAGATGATTGATATTCCACCAGGTTGACAGACACCGGAGGGCCATCAACATAATTTCAAATGTTCACAATATTCCGTTAAACGACCATCACAGATTCCCATTATAGTCCCAAATATTTACCCAAAATATTATTGGTTATAAACAATTATGTTCAATTATGCTATACTAAATCCGGTCAGACCCTATAGCCATAGCTATGGTAAACCCGCCCGATCGTTCTGTGCATAGAAACCATAGCTATATCAATACCATAAACTATCCAACCCATACCATATTTTCAAGTTCTATGCCATGGGTTCTATCTATAGTATAGCTAAGAGGTACACATGTGCCATGGTCAAAATCTTCGGAAGTTTGTTGACGAACTGACATCGAATGAAGGTGTTGACATTACTCTCTACCTGGAACTTGAATTTCAATTTGTACAGGGTCTCTTGTGCATCAAAGGACCGTACGAAATGCTCAGACGGTTCATCGACGTGATGATCAAAACAGGAATGGAGAAGTGCCTGGCTTTCACTGGCTGGATGACAGCTTGTCATTTCACCTCGGTAGTTGACCCTGTTGTGGCTGAGATAGTCTTTTTCAGGAAACCCAGTACCCCTGCGGTATCTCTGGATCTACAGGCTTTCATCCACAGTGCGCTTGTGACCCTTGCGATGCCTCGCCTGAAGGCCGAAGCTCATGATGCCATCAAGGCAAAAGTGAAATTGCGGGGCGTCTCCATTTTTCAGGATCTATTGCCAAGGAATTTACCTATCCAAGACATTCTCGACATATGGGATCAAGTTGCCACCATCACAAACTTTGAAAAGGTCATGCGACTTGCGAGTCATACTGGGAGCTCTGCCAATCCTGATTTTGCCTTGCGCCATTACTCCAGGTGTGGTCCCAACGATGAAACGGTGGCCACACTTTCCTTCCTTGGTGCTGTGCATGGAGGTGGACCTGGAGGCAACAAGATCTCAAATCCATGACTTTCAGATTCAACAGAAGAATGCTCTTGCGTTTTTGTTTGATTGCTCATGGGGCAGACATCCAGGAATGTGTTCGTTTCATCGATGGACTGCTGCGTGGTGCTGGACCTGAAGCCATCTCTGCCATACTTGGTATGAAACACCACGCCAAAAAATGGGGTGGACTTGTGCAGTTGGGTGAATCACTGAACATTCCAATTCTTGATATTGTCACGAAGGTTGACAAAGCTCGTAAGAGAGCGCAGAACAAGTTCCAAGAGCAGGCAAAAATGTTGGAGCTCAATCTCCCGGTAGAGCTTTTGAAACTTCAAGATGGATTCCTCCAGAATGCTGATGAAACTAGTTGTGTACTTTGGCGCTTTTTGCGTTTACAAGGTTTATAACAAAGGTTACAACCATTTACAGTCACTTAGCGGAATCCTCGCAGCTAACCACTTAGCAGGACTTATAACCACTTAACTCAGCAAATCCTCGTGGCCAGGAAAATGCACACGAGGGACCCCAAAAAGGCCACGAGGCGTTGTACAAACCACGGTTTTAGGTAGGCAGGAAATTCAGGTGCTCAAGTACAAGTGTTGACCTGCGCGAAGGACTTGTACCACAAAAACCAAAACAGGTATTGCACAAATCCGGGGAATTCAGCTGCTGAAACACAAGCGTTTACCCGCAAAATTAACATGCACAACTAAGTAAAGAAAGAAGACACAAAACAAATCCGCCAACTCAGAACATGTCAGGTTTTGGCGCCGGCAGGATTCGATAGGAATAGGCAAGAATGAAAAGATGCGTACAACCGTCAAACAACCATGCAGCAGTAGCACCATGAATCACGCAACCTCATGCGAAATTATTGTTCGAAAGAAAAACTGCGGAACTATATTCAAAACGGTGCAACTACGGAAAAACTGGTCAAGATCCAATGCGTTTTTTTCCTGCGATACATGTTTTTTTCCTGCAACGCATGTTTCTAAAGGTTTTGGCCCCGATACGGCCCCGATACGGCCCCGATACGGCCCCGATACGGCCCCGATACGTCCCCGATACGGCCACCGAAGTGCATTTTTCCAAAAATTCAACCGCCAAAGGCTGGCATTTTTTGAAAAAATCGGAACTATAAAGAATTGATTGGAGCTATCCGTGGTGAAGAGTTTTGAATTGAATTGTCATGATTTGTTTTGCTTTTGCGAACTTTACGTGATGGAAAAATGGGTGGGTTTGTGTGAAAATGAAAAAGTGCGAAACCAAACATCCTGAAGATATTTTTTTTGACGCCATGCCTTCGGCAAAAAAGCAGCATGAAAACAACGGCGTTGGTTTTGATGTCGATCTTCAAATGTTTCAATCTGTGTGTGCTGCATGTCCTTCAAACAATCTAAAGCCCCTTGCTGTTCTTTTTTGCGGCTGTGTTTTTGGTGAATTTGCAAAGAGAAAGCATGCAAGAAAAGCACATGTGAATTCCTGCAGACACGCCTGCGCAATTCACAATGTGAACTCTTACAGGCTTGGCTACGCACCTGCTTCAAAAACAGAACACATCACATCCAAAGATACTTTTGCACAACCCACAAGAAAGCACGACCACTTAGGGGACTTAGCTAACTCCACTTATAAACACTTAGCCACGTGGTCTTTGGGCCAGTTACTAACTGGCCTAAGTCTGAACTAACTATTTACAATTGAGCTGTGACTTATAACTGAGAAGGCTCAAACTTAGCCACATTATAAACTCATTTGGGGTAGATATAACCCCACTTGGGCAACTTATAAACCAAGTTGTAAGTTGCGCAACTTCAAAAAGCACCAAAGTACAGTTGCAGAAGGTGGCTCCAAACTCATCTGGCGTTGTCCTTGCGCGGTTCAGTGATGCAAAGCCTTGGTTGGATAATGGTAGCTCTATCACGCAAGATGAATTGTCCCTGATTGTCATTGGCCGTTGCCATCATGATGTCCCTGAGGAATGTGACAAGATCAAGGTACCTGTCCTCTTGAATGAAGAACCTCTGGTAGTATCAGGATGCCTTCACCATCTGGGTAGCAAGAAGGCTGTCATTTCAGTGGATGAACACCCATTTCCCGTTCATGAAACGCAGGTGATTTCGGTGACAGCGTTCAAAGATGAAATCCATGAAGAGACCTGGAAGCAACTTGTGCGACATCCTGTCAAATGCATCCTGCAGATACTTGCGTCCGAGGCGGGGGAGATTGAACTTTTTGCTCCCCCTTGGGGCAGGTCCTATCAGAAGTTTGGAAAGAAATGTGATGCAGAGTTGTCGACAGCTTGTCATTTCACCTCGGTAGTTGACCCTGTTGTGGCTGAGATAGTCTTTTTCAGGAAACCCAGTACCCCTGCGGTATCTCTGGATCTACAGGCTTTCATCCACAGTGCGCTTGTGACCCTTGCGATGCCTCGCCTGAAGGCCGAAGCTCATGATGCCATCAAGGCAAAAGTGAAATTGCGGGGCGTCTCCATTTTTCAGGATCTATTGCCAAGGAATTTACCTATCCAAGACATTCTCGACATATGGGATCAAGTTGCCACCATCACAAACTTTGAAAAGGTCATGCGACTTGCGAGTCATACTGGGAGCTCTGCCAATCCTGATTTTGCCTTGCGCCATTACTCCAGGTGTGGTCCCAACGATGAAACGGTGGCCACACTTTCCTTCCTTGGTGCTGTGCATGGAGGTGGACCTGGAGGCAACAAGATCTCAAATCCATGACTTTCAGATTCAACAGAAGAATGCTCTTGCGTTTTTGTTTGATTGCTCATGGGGCAGACATCCAGGAATGTGTTCGTTTCATCGATGGACTGCTGCGTGGTGCTGGACCTGAAGCCATCTCTGCCATACTTGGTATGAAACACCACGCCAAAAAATGGGATGGACTTGTGCAGTTGGGTGAATCACTGAACATTCCAACTCCTGATATTGTCACGAAGGTTGACAAAGCTCGTAAGAGAGCGCAGAACAAGTTCCAAGAGCAGGCAAAAATGTTGGAGCTCAATCTCCCGGTAGAGCTTTTGAAACTTCAAGATGGATTCCTCCAGAATGCTGATGAAACTAGTTGTGTACAGTTGCAGAAGGTGGCTCCAAACTCATCTGGCGTTGTCCTTGCGCGGTTCAGTGATGCAAAGCCTTGGTTGGATAATGGTAGCTCTATCACGCAAGATGAATTGTCCCTGATTGTCATTGGCCGCTGCCATCATGATGTCCCTGAGGAATGTGAAAAGATCAAGGTACCTGTCCTCTTGAATGAAGAACCTCTGGTAGTATCAGGATGCCTTCACCATCTGGGTAGCAAGAAGGCTGTCATTTCAGTGGATGAACACCCATTTCCCGTTCATGAAACGCAGGTGATTTCGGTGACAGCGTTCAAAGATGAAATCCATGAAGAGACCTGGAAGCAACTTGTGCGACATCCTGTCAAATGCATCCTGCAGATACTTGCGT